GGGGCGGGGGGGGGGGGGGGGGGAGGAAGAGGGACACAAAGCCACGTGTCCCCACAAGAGTGGAACACCAGGTAAGCGCCCCGCCCCACTACCCTCCTCAAACCCTGCACCCTCATCCCTCTCACACACCCTGGCTCCTTCCCAGACCCCGCATCCCCACCCCTAGCTCCCTTCATTATGATGAACACTCATGGTCCAGAAAGATTCCATAATCCAGTATATCATATTTCCCAAAATTGCCAGATTAAAGAGGTCAAGAGTGGAACACCAGGTAAGCGCCCCGCCCCACTACCCTCCTCAAACCCTGCACCCTCATCCCTCTCACACACCCTGGCTCCTTCCCAGACCCCGCATCCCCACCCCTAGCTCCCTTCATTATGATGAACACTCATGGTCCAGAAAGATTCCATAATCCAGTATATCATATTTCCCAAAATTGCCAGATTAAAGAGGTTCAAGTGTATTTTCCTCTGCTTCTATCTAAAAGGTATTATGAGACTCCATAATCTGCAACACTTGTGTTTGAAATTAATATGCATTAATCAAGGAGACAGCCTAAAAACACTCAACTGTTCTCTCAATTCTAGGGTAAGCAAAGAGCGGGGAAAACAAAGATGAGTGCCCTCCCAACGTCTTGGTCATGATGATGCCCTCCATCCTCAACCGCTGTCACAAAAGAGATCCCTTGCTGCAGTGACCCTTCCCTCAGAGGGGAAGCCTTTACGTTGCTCTCCCAAGGGAGCCAGGATATGCTGAATCTTCAGTTAACTTAAAAACCAACAACAAATAGTCTGGTAGCACTTTAAAGACAAACAAAACATGTAGATGGAATCATGGGCTTTCGTGGATCACTTGATGATTACCTGTTCTGTTCCGTTCCTCTGGGGCACCTGGCACTGGCCACTGTCACAAGACAAGACTGGGCTAGATGGACCTTTGGTCTGACCTAATATGGCCGTTCATATGTTCTTATAAACATTCCCTTAGACCAGGCATGTCCAAAGTCCGGCCCGCGGGCCAATTGCGGCCCGTGTTCCGGTTTAATACGGCCCCACATGTAATTTAGCAATATCTATCTTTTAAGGCCCCCAACGAAACCATATGTATTGAGATGAATACATTGTAAAATCTCAGTTAATGTCAGTTGGTCTAAATCAGTTATAAATATATTTGGACACAACATGTATACTTGGTGTTATGTTCCTGTTCATATTTTTTGAACTTAAAAGTTGACAGACAACCTTTATTACCAATAATATGTAATGTACTTTACAATGTTCCTGACATATATTTCAGCTTCCTGGATTTTTTTTTCATCTGGCCTTCAGATATGAAAGGCAGAGTGATTTAACACCTGTTTAGATTTGTCATCCATGTGACGAAATGAAAAGTATGCCGTTTGCAATAAACTTTGCATAAAATAGTTAATTTGCATTTAATTTTAATGGTTCAAAGAATGTCAGGCAAAATGGTCGGCCCTCACGCATGTTCACTTCATCAAATCTGGCCCTCTTTGAAAAAAGTTTGGACTCCCCTGCCTTAGACACTCAAACATCCTCAAACTGTGTCAACATATACTATTATTGACAGCATCATTCAATTCCAGACTGTCTTTTTTCCCTTCCATATCAATTAAAGGTAAAGCAGGATATGCCAGGAAATCATGTTACAGGCATCTTTTAAAATAAATAATATAAAAACAAAGACAGTACTTTTCAATTTAAGCCACCTTTTTAATATTTGTAGTACCCCTTCACTATTGAAGAGATTGCCATTACAGAATGGTCTGACTGAGACTATTCTAACACTTTCATATGACACAGGAATTCTAAAAGCTCATCTACAAAACTGAACTCTCTTTGATGACTGCTATGTTTGTATCAAGCCACAGCAGCTTCCAAGATGGTGGGAAAAAAAGTTAATTTTTTTAGTTTAAACTGAAAGAAAAATCTGGCAACTTTACTGTGCACAGAAGATTAAACATTCACAATCAGACTTTTTGACTAGGCAGAGTCATTTAATTGAAAAATAATAATTAAAGTAATAAAGAGTTAAAATTCTTAAGGATGGTTATTAGTGCAAGTGGCTGCTGTGGCTTAGAAGTTTGAGCAGAAAATGTTGTTGCATTAATATCACTGCTTAGATCACTGGGTCTCTATAGTCTATTCAGAAAAGCTAGAATTAACCCATGTGCCTGCATCAAAATTTGAGAGTTACTTTTTTCTGGGTTGTGTTCCAACTTGCTTGACAGATTTTTCTTCTGTGTAAAAAAGTAGAGTTCTCTGTAAAGTAGAGACCAGCAGCACTTTCTGGCTATAATCCAACTGTACAATTGAAGATGGCTCTTCCAATACCAGACTGGAGTTGCAAACACCCTTTAAAGACACATGAAATTAAAAGTCAAGCCCTTTTCAAATAAAAATATCTGGTAGTATTAGCAAGTTTATTGGTGGCTTTACGTGCTAACAGATTAAATAATATGTTAAGAGTTCTCAAAAATTGTCCCTTGAAATTCATTCAAACTCTCCCATTGACTTCAGCAATCAATTTAGTGGGTCTTTACTAGACCCGCTAAATTGAACCCCAGAATATCAACCTTCAGAGTGTTGATCTTTCCAGAAGTATAGATAAGGCCTTACACTTTCTCTTGGAAAGATTAAGTTCAGTGAGCATTCTTCAAAGACACCCAGTGGACCTCAGTTTCACTGTATACCCCAGGCTACTGAAATATGAACTGCTTCTGGAAAAGCATGGAATCACTGTGATAAGGAAGCGTCTTTTACCGCTAAATAGTAATCTTACCAGAAAATTGAAAAGGGGGCAATGGTTGGACTCTTAATGAAGCTGCATCCAGTCCACTTTGGACAGATAGATGGTGGGTATGACTGGCGAAGAGGGAGAAAAGTATATGCAAATATAGATAAAAATGGAAGATGACGACCACTGTCTATATTAGCTGTAACAAAGGCTCTACAAGTGTTCCCCTTTCCTTATAAACAATCTGACAATCAAAAACCAAAGATTTAGCCATCTGCTAAATATTTAGATACATTATTATTTCAGAAAGTTTCAAACCAGAATTCTGATCTCCAAAAGAAATAGTTACCTGATCTAAATCTAGAGCAGAATAGACAATTTTCCCTTTGTCATCACCAGAGAATAATTTCATTCCATTGGGACTCCAAGCCAAGGCTGTGATGCTGCTTTTATGGATACCAGCCACATCAAATCTCCGAAGCTGCAAATTGACACCGAAGAAACAAAAAAAAAAAAGAGAGTAATGGGGAAGGGGAAAGCAACACTGGGCAAATTCAGTGACTTAGCTTTAAGTATTAGTTCTGGTTATCTTCATTCCTAATTAACAAATTTAATTTCCTCATACATCAAGAATTGCATGAAAGCATTTTTGAACAAGCACATTCTGTTTAAAAATGTGAGTGAAAAACAATTATGTAAGATTAATACATGATTAGCACACTCAAGATACGCATGGGATTTCCTGATCCTCACTGGTTTAGATGTTCCAAATCATTATACCAGTGTTTCCCAACCAGGGTTCCACGGACCATCATCAGAAATTCTGCGAGAAATCGTGGAATAAATAATGCTGGGCAAGGCCTGGAGCCTCTGTCACAGCCTTCGCCTCCAACCCTGGCGCTCGGCTGACTTCTGCGCAGCTCAGCCGGGCTGTCATGCGGGAGCAAGCGGCCATTTGGCTCCGCGAGTGAGAGGCAGGAGGGAGAGGAGAAGAGAAAGAGGGTGAGAGAGAGAGGCAGGAGGAGAAAGAGGAGGAGGAGAAGAGAAAGACAGAGAGGCAGGAAATGGAAAATATTTTATATTTGAAAAAAAAAAAAGAGATTAGATAATACCAAAAAAGACAGGAAAAATAATCCAATTTTTTTCTTACAATGTAAGCACACACACACACACACACACACACACACACACACACACCAGCTCTGTACAAATAAATTTTCTTGAAAAAATTTAGCAGTAATTGAATTGCGTTCCCCGCTGTCAACTTTTTCTGACCAAGCAAACGTTTTCATAGGTAGGGGTTCCTCAGGATATGAAAAATTATTTTAGGGTTGGGAATCACTGCTGTAGGGCATAATGTTGTATGAAAGTATGATAAAATGACCATGTCACTGCTCTACAAATGTCCACTAGTGGCACATTATGTAGGAAAGCAGTTGATGTGGCCATCACACATGTGGAATGTGCCCTAATAATCTATGGTGGTTCTTTGCCGCGAAGCTGGTAAACCATGTATATACAGCTTGCAATACACTGCGCAGAGATAGCTGTTCCCTGTGGTGACTGGCCAAAGAGATGAAGAATCTGTCTGATTTCCTGGTCTCCTTGGTTCCCTCTAAGTAAAAAGCAAGGGCTCGTTTGGCATCTAGAGTGTGCAACATGGATTCTCTCGGAGAGGTGTGACGTTTAGGAAAGTATGTGGGTAAGTATATGAGTTAATGGAGGTGGAAGTCCAATATAACTTTGGGGAGGAACTTGGGATAAGGCCTAAGCATAACTGTATCCTTAGTAAAGGTAACAAGGAGTCCTGTAGCACCTTATAGACTAACAGATGTATTGGAGCATAAGCTTCCTTGGGCAAAGACCCAGTTTGTCAGATGCATTCATCCTTGTCACTTTTACAGATCCAGACTAATATGGTTACCCCTCTGATACTTAGTAAAGGTAGTATACGGTAGGTTAGATGTGACGGGGTGAAGCAACCCCACACTGACCCAGGGCACCACGAGCCCAGGGAGGAGGGGCAGCTCAGCGGGGACTACCGCCGGGAAGTAGCTGGAGAAGTCGCTCCGGTCCCGGCTGTGGAACTGGTCGGGGTCGTATGGAACACCAGCGCAGGCACAGAGAGTGCGAGGCGCGCTGTGACATCACCCGTCGGCTTGGTGGGGACGTCATGAGTACGCCAGGCACGGCGCGAGGGGGATAAAAGGCCCTAGGACCTGCGAGGGAGGAGGCAGGAAGGCCAGAGATTCGCCAGTAGGGTGGACGGGCAGGAACGCGCTGGGAAGGACCCGACCTTGACTTGATGAGCAAAAAGGGGCATCCCTCACCCGGACAGGGGGAGGGGAAAGGAGCTGGATGCGAAGGTAGGAAGTGGCCCAGGGCGGGATCATGGAGCCCATGAACTGACGTGTTTAGGGGTAACGTCCACGTCAGCTAGGCCAGGGAGCTGTCATCCCTGCCTTAGGGTCCTGGGCCAGGACCCATGAGAGTGGGTGGGCCCAGGTCCCCCTACCCTGCCATCCATGGCTGGGTATCGAGTGCATAGAAGCAACATCACAAGAGAAATTGACTTTACAGTACAGATGGTGCCGGGTGTATAAAAAGGTGATGATGGTGGTGGGGGACCACAATAAAACAGATCAATGAGCAGACGCCTAGGTGGTCCTTCTACATTAGCCATGAGGGCTGCAATTTCACTCACTCATCTCAAACACAGTCCAGATTACATCTCACTGCCACCAGTGGTAAGAGGGAACTGAAGAAGGGCTTTGGCCATCCCACCCTTTATCTCCTCACACAGTACCATGAGGTGGCACAGACAGCATGAGCAGGCCTAATGGACACTGCTAGACAAACTAATTGAAGTACATATGCATCTTCAGTGAGAACCACACTGACATAAACTCAAAGATCATATTTAACATCAAAGAAATTGCAACCAAATTTAACATTTACTTGTTTGTTTCTTCCAGGCAACGAAGAGACAAGTTGAAAAATTGCAACCCGGCCTGAAGCTGTACCAACAGCAACAAGATCATCGAAGCAGCTCAACAATTTTACAACAGTAATAGATTCAGTCTTCCCCTGTTGAAACAAGACAAAACTGCAAAATTAAAGAATTTTCAAAGCACTAATTTGTCACCAACATCTGAAAAAGTACTGATAAACTTCTGATGATAAAACCAGGCACAAAAACTTCTGGGTTTTTTACCTCAAAATTGTATTTTTTCATCTGGTTTAAACGTCTGCAGTACAGATAGAGCATGCCGATGCTACTGCCCACAGCAATGTAATCCCCACTGGTATCAAGTGCTGTGAGGTACACCACAATGGAACGAAATCCCTTCTGGACCTTCGTAGGAATGGCATTGAGGAGATAGTACAGGGGGCAAAACTCCTTAAACGTAACTGGTGGAGCTGCAGATGCCATGGCAAGTGTTTGTTTATTCTGGCCTGTAGGCTGCAGAAACTCATTTACTTCACACTAAGGAAACCTGAAAAACAACAAACACCTTCAGTTAAAATGTATTCAGAGCAGTTGTAGTTTGGTACAAAAAGCAACAAACAGAAAAAAGTCTCACTTAGTGGAACAAATCATTCTACAGCAAAAAAAACCAAACAAAACAAAAAAAACCCACACACATTTCTGCTCATATTGAGCCTGCATTACCATCAGCAACAATTTCTCTCCAACCTTGAGCAGCACAGACCTTGTATCTTGAGCCCAAATACAACATTCCACTCTCAAAAGAGGGAAAAGCATCAACTGAGTATTGTTCAATAATCAAATGGGAATAAATTGTCAGAGTAAAATCAAATCAGTATGTGATTAAAAGAACAGAGTGCTTTGTTGCTGTATAGGTCAAAACCATCTCAACCATTGGAGATGGCTTGAATAAACGGCTCTATGGCTAGGTTGAAAACAATGGGGCTGAGGAGACAGCACTGTTTCACAGCACTGCAGATCAGGATTTCCTGCATCTCTCCTTCCAAAAAGCAGATGGTGGCAGTGCAGCATTCATAAAGTTCATGGACAAGTTTGAGGAAGTTTTCAGGCACCCCAAACTCTCACAGTGTGTCAAAAATGTGTTGGTGAGGCACTGTTCCAAAAGCATTAGACAGCTTGAGCTACACTATGGCACACTGCCCTCCTTGCCACATGAATGGTGGTCTGAAGGACAAAGCTGTGTTCATAGCAGCCTCTGCATGACATGAAACAATGGTTATAAACACAAATTACTTAATTCCATCTCAGGACTACAATTATAGAATCATAGAATCATAGAATAATAGGACTGGAAGGGACCTCAAGAAGTCATCGAGTCCAGCCCCCCGCCCTCAAGGCGGGACCAAGCTCCGTCTACACCATCCCTGACAGATGTCTATCTAACCTGTTCTTAAATATCTCCAGAGAGGGAGATTCCACCACCTCCCTTGGCAATTTATTCCAATATTTGACCACCCTGACAGTTAGGAATTTTTTCCTAATGTCCAATCTAAACCTCCCCTGCTGCACTTTAAGCCCATTACTCCTTGTCCTGTCCTCAGAAACCAAGAGAAACAAATTTTCTCCTTCCTCCTTGTGACACCCTTTTAGATATTTGAAAACCACTATCATGTCCCCCCTTAATCTTCGTTTTTCCAAACTAAACAAGCCCAGTTCACGAAGCCTGGCTTCATAGGTCATGTTCTCTAAACCTTTAATCATTCTTGTCGCTCTTCTCTGTACCCTTTCCAATTTCTCCACATCTTTCTTGAAATGTGGCGCCCAGAACTGGACACAGTACTCCAGCTGAGGCCTAACTAGTGCAGAATAGAGCGGCAGAATGACTTCACGAGTTTTGCTTACAACACACCTGTTAATACAACCTAGAATCATATTTGCTTTTTTGGCAACAGCATCACACTGTTGACTCATATTCAACTTGTGGTCCACTATGACCCCTAGATCCCTTTCCGCCATGCTCCTTCCTAGACAGTCGCTTCCCATCTTGTATGTATGGAACTGATTGTTCCTTCCTAAGTGGAGCACTCTGCATTTCTCCTTATTAAACCTCATCCTGTTTACCTCTGACCATTTCTCTAACTTGCTAAGGTCATTCTGAATTATGTCCCTATCCTCCAAAGAAGTTGCAACCCCACCCAGTTTGGTATCATCTGCAAACTTAATAAGAGTACTCTCTATCCCAATATCTACATCATTGATGAAGATATTGAACAGTACGGGTCCCAAAACAGACCCTTGAGGAACTCCACTTGTTATCCCTTTCCAGCAGGATTTAGAACCGTTAACAACAACTCTCTGACTACGGTTATCCAGCCAATTATGCACCCACCTTATCGTGGCCCTATCTAAGTTATATTTGCCTAGTTTATCAATAAGAATATCATGCGAGACCGTATCAAATGCCTTACTAAAGTCTAGGTATATGACATCTACCACTTCTCCCTTATCCACAAGGCTCATTATCCTATCAAAGAAAGCTATCAGATTAGTTTGGCATGACTTGTTCTTCACAAACCCATGCTGGCTATTCCCTATCAATTATATTATATTGTCTTAATATTTATCAACTAAATAAACAAATATTAGCAAGATAATTATGTGGGAACAATGGAGCAAATTCAAAAGTGAGGAGACTCAATTTGTCAGGCACATGCAGGGATTTGTTTATTTATTTCATTTAGTAATGGGGAATGCAGAGTAAACAAAACAGTTGTACCTAAGTTTCCTGTTATGGTTAATTTGCCAATTTCATGCTGAAACAAGATATTTATAGAATATTTAGAAGAGAATGTGATGTCATCTCAGCTTAAAAACTGGCTCCCTATGAGCACCGGCTCCATAGAGTCGCCTGCCCCCACCCCCAAAGATGGTGCTTCTGTATCAGCAGGGGGAAGCATCTGAAGAAGTGTCTGGTATGTCATTCTCGGGCATCTCATCAAAACCCTTGTTGGGATCCTGACTTAGGCTTAGGCTATATCTACACTACAAAGATAAATTGGAAAAAGAAACACAATTTGCAGTACACAAATTGCGTATCTATTTCTGATTTACTTCCGACAGACGCTTTTCCGAAATTTGGCCCATCTACACAGACCCAAATTTCAGAAAAAAAAAAACCCCCTCTTTCAGAATATGCCTTCTTCCCCATAAAACAAGATGCCGACAAAATGTGTCTGCTTTTTTGACTTTTTTCGGAAAAGCAGACTTGTTCCTTGGACATCCCAAGGATCAAGTATTCCGGAAAAGCTCTGCAATCTAGAAGTACCCCTAGTTGGGCCCTGGCCCAACAACTAGTTAGTAGGTCCCTGCCTATAGTTCCTATCCCAACTGCTGTAAGGGTTCTGCCTGCGGCAGTGCTGATCTGGTCTCTGTGGCTGCTAAGTTTGGATAGTAGGTATATGCATCCCCAAAGACTTCATTGTTGCTTTTGAATCTCTGAGGTTATGGAGCTTTGAGTCTGCCTGGTTTGAAAAGAGCCCTATATCTTCAGAAGGCAAGGTCTCACAGGTCTGTTGGACTTCTGGCCTTCTGCCTGGTGGTTTTGCTTACGACCACCCTGACAAGATGGTAAACATCACTGAGTTGGTTGCATCCAAGGCAATCTGAAGGGATATCCTAACCAGATCTGAGACCTTCACTTTTGACTCTATATGGAGCAACTCTCTGTATTTGGACACAGCATCGCAAGAGTTCAAGCGATACCTGATGAAAATAGCTTATTGGTAAACTATCCTTTGCTGTAGAACCCCTGCAGAATATACTTTTCTGCCAAAGAGGTCCATATGTTTGGCTTCTTTGGTCTTGGGGGCCAGCACCTGTTGCCCTTGGCTCTCCTCATTCACCACCGAGACTAGCAGGGAGGAGGGGTGCAGGTGAGAGAATAAAAACTCATCCCTTGAAGGGGACAAAGTATTTTCTCTCTAGGCCCCTGGCAGGAGGCAGAATGGAAGCTGGGGTCTGACAAGTTCGTCCCGACTAGTGTTCCCTGTAAGTTGAGCACTGAGTGGCCACCCAGGAGAAATTCAAATGCCACCCAGCTGATTAGCAGAACACCACAGCCAGCAGCATGTATTTCTACTGTTGGTGTGCATCTGCACATGCCTCAGTACACATACAATTTATTCCACACATGGATGGAAAAAAGAGAGAGAGAACATTGCCTGTATTGTTCTGCAATTTCAGGGGGTGGTCTGGCAAGGGTTGTTTCCTTCACCAGAGGGACAGATCTAGCCATTGGTGACCAGGAAGGGTGATGTTCTGAGGTCACCAACTTGGAAGTCCTTGAAGGGGTTAACTGGGCTCAAGGTGTCCAGAAGGTCTATTGTGTGGAGGAAGGCCACTGTGGATGCTGAGCCTTGCAGTCCTTCCTGGTCTTATGCCTACTGCGCCTTCAATAAAAATTATTCCATTTGAGAGTATAAGCAAGCCAAAAGTGACAACCAAAGTGATGACAATGACCTCTGTGCTGAGAACAGATTGGGGATTGGTGTCACAATGACTGTGTCAAGGATCAGTGTTGTCTCTTCATGCTGTGCATTCAGTGCTTAGGAATAGCTGCTGCACCCCATGGGATAGTTCTCATGCTTTGAGAGGGACCGAGATCCCTCAGTGCTGGGAATGTAGGTTTCCTCTCTCCCATAGCTATACGAACCTGTACCTCAGCCTGTGCCAGGGAGAGCTATTGTGAGGATGATGATCGGAAACGGTGCCAGTTGAGCAACAAGTAGCACCACATAATCATGGGCTTGCCTTTGCACTGCATCCATCTAGACCAGGGCTACTCAACTTTGGAAGCCCTGAGAGCCACAATGATACTCACAGCATATGCCAAGGGCCACAACTAAAGTGTGGTTGCATATACATGCAAATATATATGCAACTATTGTCTTTCACATTTACGGGCATGAATACAAAGCACTTCCCACGATGCCCCGGTGTTCCCGGCACCTCCTCCACGGGGCCTAGAAACATCAACACCCTGTACCCGTCTGTTCTAGCCAGCCCATTCACTTGCATCTTTCAATGCTCACTCCGCCTGGAAGACGCTTCGCCGTTGTGGAACATGTTCTCAGTGGAGGCCATGTTCAAAGGATCCCACCCACAGGCCGCATATTGAGCCCCGCATAAACCCAAACCTCACCACAGGCCGCAAACAATGGGCCACGCATGGGCCATGTGTTGAGTAGCCCTGATCTAGACAGGGCCAGGGCCTCTGTCTGACGTTTGAGGGCTGAGGCACTATCATTTCAATGAGGCTCTTCAAAACCCTGAAGCGTCAGGAGTGGAGGGAGACTCCAACACCTCCACCAGGCACTGCCCTGCTGGAGAGTCACTAAGCACCAAGGGTCTCTGATTTTGAGCCCTTCCTCAGCACTGAGTTGCAGACTGATGTTGTGGTACTCCTCATTCACCGACCCAGGATTGGGTGGTCTGGTGCCATGGACAGAGTGTGACTTCCATCAAAAGTTGTTTTAATTGAAAAAAAAT